AGAAAGGGAATATTCTATTTAAGGAGATGCTCTGGTTGCAGACAGGTGTGGAGCTGGGGAGTTGGGTTTAGGCAACACCCACCTCTGCTTCCCAGCACAAGGAATGGAGAGGGAGTTCTCATGTTAAGCCTGTGGTTTGATTTGTCTTACTGCCCAGTGCTATTCAATTTTGAGATCAGCTTAATTTTTAACTCCAGTGTTCCTGGTTAAAATGATTGCTTTCTGAGTGGAAAAAACCAAAATCAGGGGAAGGGAAAGTGTGATTTCTTCTGATTCTGGCAAGTGGAAAAATTATTCTAGATTAAAACTTTCTTTCCTAAAAATGTTGGCTGATTTTAGTTTTTCTCTTATTCTGACGTTTATCTCGACTGTTTGTAATCTGGAAGCTTCTTTGATTTTTATTTACCTAGATGAGCCGTAAAAAAACTTGTCATCTCATCTTTTCCTTTAGAAACCAGAGGATCTTTTCTCTCAGGTGGCTAGGGTTCTTAGGTTCTTAGTGTTGGTTTTGCTTTATAGTCATTAAAAGCAGCTCTTATCATTTCTCTATACCATGTCTTCTGTGGAGACGCTACATTTTTGGAGCCAAGAGACACATTTTACCGGTGTTCTTGGAATCAGGCTGAGCATACCTTCGATTAGGATCTAAGCACAGCTTCAAAACTGGCTAAGTCTGCAGCTTCTGAGAAGCACCTGGCTCTTCCCAGAAACTGTCGTGGTGATATAATCTCAACTTTTATCTTTAGTTTCTGGGATACTGCAGATATTTACTATTTTGAGTAAACCCTCTGAATTAAGATGGTCAGCTTCTGGGAGTAAATATTTGTAACTAACTATTTAGCCCCTTGTGTCTAGGAGGACAGTGAGCATGGGAGATGTCTTCCTTTATCAGGATTTAGTTGAGGTCCTGAGTGCCTACAAAATAAAATCTGGCTGAGCCTTCACAAGAGAAGTGAAATGGGTTCAATTTTATTTTTTTCCCCCGCTGTTTAGTCTGCCATTTAATTTGCCAAAGCATATCCAAGTTTGAATTGATTAAAATGTTCTCATTTCCTGTCCTCAACATGTTGTGTAATAACTTTCTTTAGCTTTTTTAAATATTTGCTCTGTTTCACTCCAGCACCGGTGGGTGAAGTAATTACCATGTCAAATCAGTCGGTAGGATGCCTTGAAACCTGCCAGGTCCTGTGCACTGTTGGGGCATGATTAGACCCTGCCACGTAGGGTTTCTAGGTCATAGGCAATATTTACGAGTTGATGGAGAAAGAGAGATCTTCACCAGCTGTTACCAAGAGGGGGCTGGTATAGTAATTTTCATGTTTTAGTCATAAGACTTATTTTTGGAACAAAAATACGCGAAGAGATGTTGTTCGTTTCATTGCCTTCAGTAAACTTTTCCAGATCTTCAGCCTGTAAATGCTCCGAAAGCAAGTGATGAAAAAATGTCAAGAGGCTTAGAGATCTTTCCACGGTTTTTGGTCAGTTTGGTGTCGTCATCATCTAAACATAGGCAGGCTGGACTGGAAGGGATCTCTTGGGTCACAGCTCCCTTGTTGTTTGCCTTTCACAGCCGCCGCCGTATTACCCTTTTTATAAGCGCATTTAGCTCTGTCCTAGTGCTGGGGTTTTGCCTCTTTTCAAATGTTTTAATTCTGAAAGGATGGAAAACTACCCTCCGGGAGCTAAGCCTAAAGGCAAAGGCAAAATTGGGCTCCGCAGGTTGGCCAAAAAATGTTACTAGCTTCTCCTGGAGGTAAGTTATTCCTTCCTAAAACTCATCACTTTCAGAAACAAACAGCATAAACGTGAGATCAAAAACGGTGTGCTTGAATTAGCTATTAAATAATGCTTTCTGGCATCAGCAGTGACAGAACGTAATCATCTTCCTTATACGAAGTGTGAGACTGTGTTTAGTAGCAAATAGCATTTTGCCTTGGCCTCTTGAAAAATCGAAGCTTTCTTGATGTTAAAAGGCAAACACAGATTCAAACCGCAGATTTGGATAATTTGCTCCACCTACTCCAAAGCCTGCTATTTCAGGAGTGAATTTTAGTGATTTACGATCCCATCTCGTATTTCCAAAAGGCATTTCTATATTTGCTCTGTTTCACTCCAGCACCGGTGGGTGAAGTAATTACCATGTCAAATCAGTCGGTAGGATGCCTTGAAACCTGCCAGGTCCTGTGCACTGTTGGGGCATGATTAGACCCTGCCACGTAGGGTTTCTAGGTCATAGGCAATATTTACGAGTTGATGGAGAAAGAGAGATCTTCACCAGCTGTTACCAAGAGGGGGCTGGTATAGTAATTTTCATGTTTTAGTCATAAGACTTATTTTTGGAACAAAAATACGCGAAGAGATGTTGTTCGTTTCATTGCCTTCAGTAAACTTTTCCAGATCTTCAGCCTGTAAATGCTCCGAAAGCAAGTGATGAAAAAATGTCAAGAGGCTTAGAGATCTTTCCACGGTTTTTGGTCAGTTTGGTGTCGTCATCATCTAAACATAGGCAGGCTGGACTGGAAGGGATCTCTTGGGTCACAGCTCCCTTGTTGTTTGCCTTTCACAGCCGCCGCCGTATTACCCTTTTTATAAGCGCATTTAGCTCTGTCCTAGTGCTGGGGTTTTGCCTCTTTTCAAATGTTTTAATTCTGAAAGGATGGAAAACTACCCTCCGGGAGCTAAGCCTAAAGGCAAAGGCAAAATTGGGCTCCGCAGGTTGGCCAAAAAATGTTACTAGCTTCTCCTGGAGGTAAGTTATTCCTTCCTAAAACTCATCACTTTCAGAAACAAACAGCATAAACGTGAGATCAAAAACGGTGTGCTTGAATTAGCTATTAAATAATGCTTTCTGGCATCAGCAGTGACAGAACGTAATCATCTTCCTTATACGAAGTGTGAGACTGTGTTTAGTAGCAAATAGCATTTTGCCTTGGCCTCTTGAAAAATCGAAGCTTTCTTGATGTTAAAAGGCAAACACAGATTCAAACCGCAGATTTGGATAATTTGCTCCACCTACTCCAAAGCCTGCTATTTCAGGAGTGAATTTTAGTGATTTACGATCCCATCTCGTATTTCCAAAAGGCATTTCTTGACCAGTTTTTTCAGGGTTTTTTTTTTTTCCCCGTCGCTTTGTCTTGTTTAGGTAATACATAAATCTATCAGAAAAGAGCGTCATCTAGAACCTCTGAGGCCCCTTTAGTGACAAGCCCCATTGTCAAAGGCAGGCTCTTTGCCAGGAAACTGTGACTCCCAGAGAGAGTGTGCAAGGTTAGGGGGAAAGTATACTATTGCCAGAGAAACTGTATTCCAAGTGGATTTGTGTGGAACAACAACAATATCCAGTGACCGGTTAAATTAGCCGCAGATGTGTTTTCTAGAACACTGTCCAAGGAGATATACAGTACTTTAAGGCTTGCTTCAGCCATAATCATCTTCTGAAGTCAAATCAGATCCAAGGGAAAATTGCATGGGTACTAGGGAAGCTTTAAAGGAATTGTGTAATATGATTCAGCCAAGTAGATGAATCAGAGTGCTGTGAGCTAAACAAGGAGCACATCGGTGAGAGATGAGGTAAGACGACTCGCATAGGAGCGCGATGGTTTGATGGTAGCAGTTTGCTGTTAAAACCCCAGCTGGGGCGGGTTGAGGCGGGCAGTGAAAGGGACCCGTTATGCCGGCCACCTGCCCGGAACGTGCGTGCGGAGAAGAATCTCCCCGTGGTTTCTTTCAGCTTTTCAGAACGTACGAGTGCTTGGGTTTTGCACTTGCCGTCTCCGATGCTGTATCGCTCTCCCCGCGCCGCTCCTCCTCCGCGGCAGCGCTGCCGATCGCAGTTCTTAAGGGGATAATTACTCTGCTGAGGGCAATGCACTCATTATTAAATATTTGGAGAATTTTCACGTACTGAAATCAGAGTGCAGGTGACGGCTCTGGGACTGTTCTCATACAGGAGGATTTTGTCTCGGCATCCCAGCTCGAGCAGTACGTGGGATTTCTGTCTGAGAGCAGTGTTGAGGAGCTCAGCTTCCATCCCGCAGCCGAGTTCTAACTCTCCTTCTTAAAGTTCAGATAAGACAGACGGTGGAGAGAAGTCCTGTTGAATTACAGATTTGGTTTTATATGGTTTAAAGTTCTGGGGAAACATAAGCAGCTTAGTTACTCTAGTAGTTGGAACATGAAGCAAGAAAAGCTTTCGTTGTATTCTCTGACCTATTTCTTCACAATGTTATTTACTTGAATTAAATTGAATATGGTATATTAAAATGTTGTCATCAAAAAAAGCCTGGAAGTATTCGGCTTAGATTCTCATTGCAATAAGCATTGATAGCAAAAGTGGAATTTAAAAAATAGGAGTTTGGTTGAGGAGTTGCAGGTGAGTTAGAAAAATTTTCAAAATAGAAAGAATATATTCTTGTGGATGAAACTTTATCTCAGTCGCTGTTTTCCAGAGCTTTATCAAATGCTTTTAACACTAGTGGTGTAAATGTGGAAACAGATCTATTTAGGTTTGCTTTGAATTTCCAGATATAGTTCCAGAGAGGGCTGAAATGCTATGAGCATTTATTCACAGAAATGTTATTTTCTTTTCCTTTCCTTGTTACCTCTTGGCAATAATTTGTTTTAATCAAGCAAATTGTATTGCATCCTATCCACTGCTTCCAGTTTCCTCTTACTTGAGCTCTGAAATCTGCTTCAGGAGATTTTGCACTTCTATTCTTAGGAATTTTTGCAGGTCACATGCAAAGCCGTGTGTGTGTGTGCATGCATGCGTGTATGTCTTTAGACAGCATACCAATAATTGGAATAACCCTGCAAAGTCATGGCTTTGCTTCAGGAGAACTCATGGCAAAAAATCAAACATCCCTCCGCTTTCAGGTATATTTTCTGATTTTGACCTAAGAAAGCCAGACATCCTGACAGCTGACAGAATGTGTTTGTTCTGAAATGTGATTATTTTGAAAATGCTCATACCTACAGCTTTATTTCTTCTCTCTTTACAGGGTCTTTGTGAACAGAAGTTTAGCTATGGAGAAAATAAAGTGCTTTGGTTTTGATATGGATTATACTCTTGCTGGTGAGTATCTTCTTAATTTTTTTTAGTCATTGGCTTAGTTTGGAATATTGCCTCTTTTTGAGCAAAAACCAGTTACTGGCTGGGCTACTCCAGTTAGCAGGTGCTGCTTCTATTAGCAAATACATTGTTCACTATTCAATGCACTTTCATTTTAGGTGTTTCCCTTAAATTTGTTATCTCCAAGCTGTGTTTGGTCACAAGCCATGTTGCTGTAGTACAGTTTCAAGTAATTATGGGTGTCAAGGAAACCGAAGCTTAGTCAGTCTAATTGCTTCCTTAGATTCCACTATATTTTGACATTGCCCCCGGTGCAAGCTTGGCTTTGAATAACAAGGTGATTTCTTTTATCCTTGGTGCTTATGGCAGGCTACACCTTTAGCCAGCAGGTTCTCCTGTGTCCTGGGAGGGTCATTTTTTAATAGGGTTTCCTCTTTCCCACTCTTGGGTTGGCCACGTCGGTGACTCATTTTGAGAAGAGGCAGGGCAGGGTGAGTGTCTCGTGTCAGCTCAACAAGTTGATTTAGAGAGCTTTGCCCATTTTTTATGGCAGATAGGCTTTGGGAGGTTGCATAAGACCTTTTAGTTTCATAAAATGTTTTGCATGACTTCTCCATCTTTCAAACACTCGGCAGGCAAGTTCTCTGAGACTTCTGATGAAGGCAGGGGGGGTAAAGTTACCGTTTTCTGCATAATCAGACTCGCATGATGTTATGTATTTTGAGGAAGGAAGAGGTAAAAAGCCCGCTTCCACATTCCTAAGTTATAGCTGGCAGAAGTTACGGTATCACACAGGCTGTAACTGAGGATGTCACATACAATCCTGGCTTCTTTCTCATTGCCACTTCGGAGATCACGGACAAAAAGCTCCTCTCACCCTTGATATTTCAATTTAGAATTGTTGTGAATATAAACTGAGAAAATGGGAGGTAGAGTGTCAGGGTCACCTAATAATAAGTTAATGCAGAATGTCGACTATGATCATCTAGTTACTGTGTTTACTGAGGAGGAATGAGAGATGAGTAATGTGGCCAGGGACGGCGGGGGGGTGACAGGAGCCGGGGTCGGGGGCTGAGCAAAGGGCAGGGAGGTTTCCGTGTGCTCCCGGGTCAACACAGAGCCACAAGGAGCAGTTCTGGGGGCTGTGGTGGGTAATTGCAGTTTATATTTAGATCACCCGCTTTGGTTCTTTTAAGCAGTTATCCATGAGGCAGCAGTTATATATAAAAGGTTTGGTTGTTCAACACCTTATTTATATGTCTGTTTAAAGTTCCTGCCGCTTTTTAAGTCACAAAGTGTCTCGTCGTTAATCTGTGCGGGATCTGACTGCAGGCGTGTGCTTGCAGTGTCTGTGTTTCCCGGCTGTGACAGCCTTGTGGCAGTGCCTTTAAGGAGCACAAAACGCTTGTTCAAGAACAAATGCTTAAAAAAAAAAAAATAGAGTTGTGGGTTTCACTTCCATAATGGAAAAACAACTTCTGTGCCTTTCGCAAACTGGCGGCATCTCCCAAGGACTGGAGTGATCCCAGTGGGGCTGGCGTGGAGCACGAAGTGTGTTGATAACTTGCATCCTGACAGAAGGAGAGCTTCAGCACGATCCTCACTTCTCTGACTGCTCATTTCCCTTGTGTTGCTTGTTCCTGTAAACACAGAGCAAATGTGTTGTTATCCGCAAAACGATGCTCGGTTTGATGAGAGGGAAAAATGAGAATGTTTCAAGCATCCTTAAAACAGTAGCCAGGGACATGGAAACCTGGGGCTTCCAAGGCTGGAAGATCCCAGTGCTACAATATAAGCAGGGAATGTTGGTGCATTCAGGGGAGCTGAGTGATAGGGTAGGGTGCAGAAAAAGAAACGGCATGTGGTCCAAGCAGGAGGCTGGAAATCTGGACTGCCCTGGGGTAGGCCACTGTCCTGTGACTTCCTCCATGGTACAACAGAGGTAATAGTTGCATATTATTTTACAAGGAGTTGTGAGAATGTAATTAGGTTGGAAAGCCTTTTGCAGATGAAGAGCATTATGCCTGGTAAGTACTATTACTCTTTCTTCCACTTGACTGGGAAATTAACATACAAAATTACCTATTTTTCTGATGTCTTAGAGTCATCCTTTCTTCTCCATGTGGGCTTTTGTTACCTGACCATTATTTGCTACATATAACTGTCACACACAAGAAAAATTACTTATTCATTGCAGGAACTGTAAGGATTGTGGTATTAGAATATGATTAAAATTAATTAATTGGAAATGATAATGAAGAAGTGGGGCAAGTGAAGTATTACATTAGTATGTTGTAGTGTGTTCATTAGACCCTGGTGTGTTTTCTGTCTGGGCATGTTATCATTTACACACTCTTTCACATGGACATGCTACTGTCTAGAAACCCAATGTAAAAAGCTAGTTTATCTGTAATTTAGCATCTGGAAATGGTATCTGCATACCAGATGGTGCACACTGAGCATAAGCCTTTTGGATACCATTCAAGACATGTAAATAGACTAAGTAAGAAGAATGGAACCATCTCCAGTGTCATCAGCTCCTCTTCTAGTTTTCTGCATTTGTACTTTCACATATTGCTAAGTCACTTTTCTGTAAAGTTGTTTAAAAATATCTCAAGCACAATCTTAATATTCAATGATTGAAGGCAGTCAGAGCCATTGACCCTGCCAAAAACCATATGCCATGTCCTTTCCCCTCTCTCTGTCATGAACTTCCACATCAGAAATAAACCGATGACATTCATCCCATAGCTGACAGTCATACACTTTGACATCTCAGAAGAAGAATGATTATTTTGGAACACCCTGAATTACTTAACTTGCGAAAAGGAGGCTGTGGTGTCAGTAAAAGAAAACCTGTTGTCACTCTTCTCTCTTTCTTCTTCCCAAATCAGCAGCCACTGGTAGCACCAAAAGTTTTGCTCAGGAGGTGGTTCAGTACCAGAGAAGTCAGAATCACTTGACTTATTTTGAACTTTAGAAGCTTGAGAGAGTTTTGTAGTTTATGAGTTTAAGTACTGAAACCTGTGTACAGTAACACTGTTCTCTGTTTAGAATAATCTCATTTTGGTAGGGATGTGGCATTTCCATTTTGAAGTATATTGTAACAGCTACTACACACATAGCTGCAAGTGATTGTGTATTCTATGACTAGGATGACTGAGAATGCCAGCTTGCCAACTGACAGCAGTTTTAGTATCATCATGTTACATTGCACATAAAATACAATTTCATGCATTGCTTTATAGGGTAGTATTTCTTAGGCTTATTAAATTAAAGGACCACTTAACTCAGAACTGAAGAAATTCAAGGCTCTCTGATGCAGCATTGCCGCAGTGATTTTGTTCGCTTCATGTCAAAATTAGGTTAAATTTTGAATTCTTGTTAATAACTTCTATGTTCTCTCATTGTGTTTGTCTCCTTGCACAGGGTTGAGAAATGCTGCTAATGGGTGGGTTGGACAAACAAAGTCTTTTTGTCTTGAGAAAAGAGCTTGAAGGTTTTAGCCTTCTCTTCTGAGAAATTACGGTCATTGAATTGCTGAATTTGTAGCCACTGTGATTACAGCTAAAATTAATTTGACTGCTAGGAGCTCAAAACAAAATGAAAGCAAATTGAAATAACTTTTCATGGGTTTTAGATTCCTTGTTTTCCCATGAAGGATTGCTCTTGCACCCTCATGGGGTGAATAAGACCTCTTAGATGTATGGAGCTCCCAATCCTCCCTAGGTCTGATACTACACTAATCCTAGAGGCTCAGAAATCTGTGTTATATGAAGCCGTCCCCTTTCTCTTCAGTCTGTTTGGTTTGCTTGTGTTAGTGAATCATATTTAGTATATAAAAGAATGTTTCCTTTAAGCTAGGGGGTGTTGGGATGAACGTCGAAGGAGCAGGAGGAACAGCAGGGTTTGACCGTGGTTTGTGTGCACAGATAAATAGCTGCTGCTTAAAATCTTGGAGGGCTTGACGCAAGCAAGAGTCATCAGCTATTTCAGCCCTCGCTGTTAGCGGAGGTTAAGACAAGTTTCTGTGATGTTACACAGCCCTGTGTTCCCTGCTGCTGACTTGCTGCCCGCCTTCCTGTTTAAATCCTTAAGGTAGAGAGTTTTGAGGGTCCTTTTGTAGCGCGTTTTTGTTTGCGAAATAGTAGTTTATTTTCTTACCCGACTGATTCATCTCTGTTTATTCATCCTGACTGGCTAGAAGAGCAGTCGTCACTAACAATTCTGGTCTGCCTTCCTGTTTTACTAGTACTGTCAAAACTGCCCGTGCTTTGGCAAAGGAAAATGTTGCATGTAATCCAAAAGATTGACAGCCTTCCCTGTTCTGTGTTTACACCAAACTGCAGGAAGGAAGCTAAAGGTATGTCAGTAGAGAGTCTCCACTGCAACGCTCACCTGAGACTGGGAGTTGCTGAGGCCCCTTGGAAATGCAGCAGAGAGAGATTGGTTTCACACAGCATTTTATTTGGCTGCTTCCTTCTCAGCGTGAGCTACGCTAGTAATTAGCAGGTCTGGATCCAAGTAATGCAGGAGGCTTTGGCATTGCTAGGTCTTAAATGGGACAGGTTGCACAATGAGGTGATGGATAGATGTCCCTTGACAGGAGCAGAGCTAAAGCAGTGGGGTTCTCAAGCTGGTTGTAATTTCACACCGGGCCATTGGCAGATGGAGAGGGAATTAGTAAGAATTACAAACTCAATTGTGCTTGAAAAGATTCCTCTGTGACTGCCCTTCTTCTCCAAAAGTTACGGCCTTGTTGAAAGTTTTATCTTCTGTCTCTGAGGTAGATAAGATGTAATATCAGTGGGCAGGATGCTTTCATTTGGAATGCTTTTCCTGTACTTAAATCCCTGCTGCTTCCATCTTCTCCAGAAATCAACAATAAAATTATCATCGGCCGCTGAAAACTGTTTCAATAAAGAAGAAGGGGAAATGAGGCTTGAAAAATACTGTTTTTATTGCGTGCAAATATGATTAATACAGCATAATCTGATTGGAAT